CTCGGCCCTTCATATATATATTTACATAAGTTTATGTCATTAGACGGAAATACCCTTAGGTTTTACATGAATAGTCTATAGTACCCTCTCTTGATAGAGAGTTAAAAAGAAAAGCTGCCGCTAAATTTTACCAAATTTAAGTTCCACAGAGAGCAGAATCACCTGTTGTGTGTTCTTGGTCAACAATTACCTCTTTTCTTCCAGTTTGAATATATCCTCTTTTCTATTTTTTTTTTGTCAATTACATAATTGTATTTTATTTTTAAATGAGACTATAATTAATAAATTATAAGTCATATCTCAATTTAGTTTAGTTTATGTTAATGAAATAAATGTATTCAAATTATACTCACACGGTTACACTGGTGCAAAGCTTTTAACCATTAATATTGTTTTCTTTCTCAAAAATAAAAAGAAGCTTTTAATGGATCATCTGACATGATCAAGGTCACATATCTAAAAATGTAATCGTCTATCACGTGATGTGAGCGTGTGCTTGACTAAGCATAATTAGATGGCGATTATTGATTAACTTGAAGTTATAATCTTTTTTTTTTTTGTCAGGAACTTGAAGTTATAATCAGTAAGCATAATTAGATGGTGATTAAGGATGAGACACAAAATGTGTTGTGTTATTGTTCAAGTGTGTTAATGCAGTGAAACTGCCACGTGTCAACTGGTTTTTATCTCTCGTAGATAGATTCTTCAAGATCAGAGAGAACGAGAAATAGAACATGGGCTCTAAGAAAAGCCCATAACAACTAAATTCGATTTTTCTAACTTACTCGTATTTGGTTACAAGTAACGTGAATTAATTAAGGCGAGATTTTTTTTGTGGTTGTTTATCCAATTTTCTTCCTCTTCGGACAAAAAAAAAACATAAAATCCTCCAAGAACAAGTTATTATTTACAACCATAATTTCTGGATGGTAATAAATAACAGCATGCAAAGATAGACAAAAAGAGGTTTACTTTAAAAAAAAACAAAAAAATTCAATCGATTGTTCTCTGTTTGTTGGGAAATAAATTACATTTTAGCAGCAGCTTTTTAATTTTACAGGCGAAAAAAATAGAAATCAGGGACGATCGGGGTTCTACACAAAGGACACGTCATCTTAACGTCTTGGATCCAACGGTCAATACACGTCTTGTGGAAAACATGTACGCAATTCCTCAAACACCGGACTTGATCACCGCCGTCGAAATCATCTTGACATATCCGGCAACTCCCCGGCGGATTCACCCGTGACATCTCCTCGAACTTTATCGCCGGAAGCATGTCGTCCATCGGAATCTTGTTTATGCCCGAAGACTCCGACGAATAGTCACCAAATAAACGAGTTAGATCAAGAAAAGAACCAACCTTTCTCATTAAATCATTTACAATAACTCCGACGATGATAACTCCGGCGCCGCCGTAAGAAAAGCCCATGACCCTTTTTCAAGAATGTTGAATGAGAAATTTAAGAATTTAGGAAATGTTTTTGGATAAAATATGGAGAATGAAAGAAAGAAAGATTTAAGGAGCATATAAAAATGGCTATTTATTAGAATTAATTCGGTGTTAAGCGTGGATCGCGTGGGCGGGATTTAGAGAAGAGATCAGAGACGATTAATTAAACGTACGTCAATGAGATAAAAGATACTGACTGTGACGCAAAACAACCAATCATAGAAGAACAAGTCAATGGATTTGACGTGTTTGATTGGTTGGTGACGGGACATGAACGTCGAATATAAAGTAAAAAAAAAAGAATGAGTTCAGATACTGTATATAGTTGAAAAACATGGCTTAGACGCAATGGCAAAAGTATATATATATGAATGATAATTAAAATACTACGGATATAACATTTAATTCTCTCTGACGTATAATATAGATAGATGGCTGAATAAATCAAAATCATATTTAGTTGTAGTTCTTTTTTGGTTAGCTTATTGCTTTCTTCGTTTATTTAAAATTTACTCCAATGTTTTAGATCTTGCGGACTCATTATTAGTGGCGTAAAAGTATTTACTAGCTTTCTCATTGATGTTGAAATAAATGGTCCGTTAATAATCGTAGTATGTATCAAGAACATAACGGAGATGGAAAATAATAATGAAAACCATTCGTTCATTTCAAATTTTACAAAATACAACACTCCACGCCTCGATTTGGACTAAATCGGTACATAAAGAAAATACAAGGGTTAAAAATACAGGGGCCATTTCAACAATAAATTACTCCATAGAAAAACAATCACACAAAGAGAGTTATGTATATAATATTGTAAATGCTTAATCACCAGCTGAAACTGATCGATTCAAAGTGAAGATTCTCAGCCAAACCAGAAGAACAAATCCTCGCCACTTTTTGTCTCATCTTCTTCGGACCACACACCATAACTCCCACGCTTGAACCTTTTGTCTCGAGTAGATACTCTGTTTTCACACACATTTTATCATAAGATATATGCAAATTTTCAATATAATCATTAATTATAGTATATGCACTTACTCTCGAGGTCTGGTCTTTCACCGAAATGGATGTTGGTGCATTGCACAAGAGACTCTTGAGGAGTACTCTCGATTTCTCTGTAAGCCCACGAGCTTGGAGAAGAAATGGGGCTTGGTACGTCGACGTTTTGGACCCGTTTACTGCTTTCAACATTGCTCTTCTTCTTATTCCAAAACACAGCTGCACTTGATGTCATCATGATGCTAACGCAGAGGACTAGAAGATAAAGGATGGATCTTGATGCAGCATTGTACTTGTTCTTGTTTTGATCGATCGGGTAAATGTAGTATTCTGTCATGACTCCGATGATTACCAAGAAGATTATGAAAGAAGAAGAGAGGATGGCGCCGAGCCAGAGCCATGAGTTTGGTCCTAGGATTGCTGAGATTGGTTGGTCCGAGTGGCTTGGCTTGAACCAGAGGGTTCTGATCTTCTCGGTTTCTTCGTTCATTGGTTCGTTTTCTTTGGTGATAAAGGCTTCGATTTGTATATTTAGGTCAGGTGATAATTCGAGACCGGACGCAGGGAAGATAAGGTCAAGCATGGAGATGCCAGAAGCTTTCTTGAACGCGCAAATCAAGGTTATTTTGGGGATTTCACATGTCGTTGTCCGGCGCATGGCGATTAAATCGCGGATAATAGAGATGAATGGAGTGATTCCACTGCCTCCGCTAACCATAACCAAAGAATCATGCCTAGAAGCAAAGAAAACAAACACTCACCAAGGTTAATTGTGCAGCAAGAAACCCAACTCTAATCTACTCTGCTTTAACCACAAGAAATATAGTTTAAAACTGATCATGTTTGAACAAGCAACTATATTACCTTAAGAAATCTGTAGTAGCAGGACCATAAGGTCCTTCGACAGAAACTGAGAGAGCACGATCGGTATGATCCGAAGAAGAAAGCATCTGGTAAAGCTTTGTAGACCATTTCCCTTCGCTCTTGATCACAATGCTTAGCTTATCTGCTTCTAGGTTACTGCTTGAAGTAATTGTAAATGGATGCCATTGCAGCTTGGAGATGCTCGGTATGTTCACAAACAATGTGCTCGTTGGAGTATACATCAATCCTGTAACATGACATACATGTTTAGAGAAATTTTGAATCATACATTTATTAATCTTGATGATTAAGAGGACTCATCACCTTTGGTTTTGGAGAAAGTGAGCTCGACGGTGTTGGAAGGAAGAACACGTGCAGACAAGAGACGGACATTGTCACGTGATTGTAAAAACCTCAAGAAACGATCGACCATGAACATATAGAAACCAGGGAAGATGATAAAGCAGAAGGCGATGCCTACGTGGAGGACGTAGAAGAACATGAAGACGATGTAAAGGTAGTGACTATAGAAGAAAACCTCAAAGAATCTTCTCCTAATCGAAGGATATGAAGTGGCCCACATCACAAGTCCAGACAACAAAGCAATCTCTCCGGCAACATTGGACATCTCGGTCTTAGACCAAGTCACCATCTGAGAGATTTCGTGCATTGAGGCCCAATAGATAATGAAACAAACGCCGTGAACGGTGAATAAGGACATGAGCATGTGACCAAGCCAAATATGGTACTTGATGCTTGACTCTGAAGTCAGTCCTATTACCGGAAGCAATGATGACCCACGAACCACCGGTATGAACAAGAAAGCTAGACATAGGTTACCTACCAAACCGATCCTTATTGCCATTCCCTCCAACATCGCTTCCCATCTATATGTATATACACACATCATTATTAGAACATGCATGTGTTTTGGTATAAATTTTGAGTTGTGTGTTTATGAAAGAGTGGTTACAATTTCTGGTGGAGTTTAGCGGCTGATTTAGGTGTAATGATGATGTAAGCGTTGCGCCAGTAAACGATGAAGTTCCAAAGAAGAAGAGCCACAAACATTGCCAAGAATAATAACTCAGTCGCTGAGACTATCCCCAATGGTCCATTGACCAACATGGGCCTTCTCATGGCTGCCAACACGCCTCCTCCGCTTGTCTTCTCCCTGTTATCATCATATATATACATCGTTGTGTCAAGAAGATTTTAACCAAGATACATATTTTGTGTTAATTATTGGATCAACTGATACCTAATGAGATGATCAGTGCTCTTTTGTTTCTTCAAGTGAAGGTAGAGACATCCCAAACAAGCCATGAGAAGCATAGGGAACATTAACATGAAAAGGGTCAAGCCTGCATTATGTTGGCGAAACATAAACAGTTATAAAAGCATCAAATGTTGTGATTAACATTCAAATATCATAATAAATATACACGAACCTGCTACACCAAAATAAGTAGAGAAACCAAACTCAGTACGCATGACGGGTAACCACTTGGTTCGATAGGTTAAGGTTGGCATGAGGATCCAAACAAAGATGAATCCAAGGAAAATCACGAGCATTAAGAGCTTGATCAAGCCCTTAAGCACATCTTTGAACTCATCTCCCGATGATGGGGCTGTTGCCGAGACTC